TAATAAAAAATATAACTTAATAAAGTATAAGTTTGGATTGATACTTAAAGTCAAATAAGAAATAAAAAAAATTCCGACAATCAATTATCCGAACTTGTATCCCCACGAATCACATCTCTCTCTCTCCCCTCTCAATTTCCTCGGTCAAATATCATCTACCGTGTACTAATTTAGTCTATGTATTTAAGGTTCATTTGGTAAACGTATTATAAAAAGATTAAATATTAAATTATATTATTTTTTATTTAATCAGGTCTAATACTTTGTTTGATAAACAAATTTAATACCGTATTAATTTCAAAAATGTATGTTGATCGTATACTTATCGTATATTTTTTATATAATAGTTTTGTATTATGAAGGTTTTTTAATACCACCAAGAGAGGTGGTATTATAATCCAATTTAAACGTATTATTCTACACATTTACTATTATAACCTTTTAACTGATAAAATCAAGTTATCATCAATGTAGTAAACACTGATTAAGGATATTTTTGTTAATTCAACATTAATACGATGAAATAATTCTCTAACCAAACAAACGATTGGATTAAATAACTACTTTTTAACAACACTTATATTGTGTATTACCAAACACTTGATAAAATTACGTATTATTCTAATACCCTATTTAATCTTATCTTTTGTCTTTTCCGTATTGTATTAGACTGTATTACTATATTTAATCCATTCATTTCTAATACAACAATCAAACGAGCCCATATAGTACATCTTGCTCAAATTCCATTAAGAAGAAAATGTAGGATCAAAGGCTGTCATAATCACTCTCTTATTCATGAAAATTTTTATTTTTTATTTTTGCCATATTTCTTTCTACCCATTATAGTAGATCCTGCTCCAATTCTTAGTCAGGAATCTACCATTACAAGGCAATGTAGGATCAAAGTCCATAGAAATTCTACCATAATCACACCCTTTTTTGTGATTTTTTATTTTTTGGCCATATTTCTCTCTACCCATTATTGCTGTGAGTTTGTTTATTGAACCAATTTTAGAATAATGAAAACATGACTTTTTTATAGATTCAGTTATCTACAAACTGTAAGTATCAATTAAACTTAAATTTTATACTCCTCTGAATAGAAATAAGCTCAAGACTTTGAGGGTTTACACCACCTCCTTTACTCCATTACCAATTTAATTGTTCTCCAATAAAATGTTCATTGCAATGGCTTTTGTTGATTAGAGTGACTTTCCTTGTTTCCCAATATTAGAATTCAATTCCAAGAGACAGCTTAAGCAGTAATAGAAATGAGTTATAAATTTTAAATATTTTGAGTTCGAATTTTGATAACTCGTTAGAGGCCAGAACATGCGAAATTTATCTTTCATGAAATACCCTAATTCTAGTGTAGATAATCTGTCTTTAACCAGATCGGGGTGAGAATTAGTTGAGATGTGCGTAAACTAACCCGTTGAAAAAAAAATATTAGAATTCAATTTGATGGGTCATATTTCCACTATATAGTATGACAAAAAAAAAGTTCAAGATGCCTAAAATTTCCTATGGAGAGACAATGAGAGCAGAAAGCACATACCACATGATGCCCAAAAAACAAACGGTATTTGAATAAAGTGAAAAGCAAATCATAGAATCTGTGATGAATGAGAGTAGTTGTAATTTATATTTAACTGTTGCTTTTGTCCTACTCCATATGCCTCTTATTAATTTTAAATTATAAATCATATAGTAAATTGTTTATCTGGGACCCACTGAATGGTATCCTATGGATAGAAGAGTATTCCCGTTGGTAATGGTAGGGGCCCATTCAAAAATATTTAAGGGTGTAGCAGTTCATGTGAGGTCAGCAACCATAGGCAAAAGAATATGTGGGCCATCTTTTGTTCCTTAAATAAATACAAGCCCAGAAAACCTCCAAGGCTCAGTATGGATGAAAGTTGGTATAATTTTTTAGCCTTATTTGAGTAAAAATATAACATAAAATTTTATTTGAGCTAAAATGCATATTTAAAAAAAAAAATGAGAATATTGTCATTCAGTGAATAGTTGATGGGCTGAAATCTTTTGTATCATTTCCATATATTTTGGCTACAATCAAGTAAGGATGTTCAAATTTCTGATTGACCATAATTTTCGACCTTACCCTATCCTACTGAATGGTTAGCCGCAAAAATCAAATAAGAATGCGAAAGAATTTTTGGTCTTCCGATTCAATCGGGTAGGAATACGGAATAACTATCAATTTTCTCATTCTTATTCTACTCGCAAAAAATTTATTTAATTTTTTTTATATATTTTTTTTGTAATGATAAGAATATTTGTGTGATTTAATTTATATTATAACATTGTTATTGTTGCGGATGTTTGAGTTGCTAAAATATACACTTGTTTTTTATGTAGATTATATGATTTGTGGTGAACTGGTGATCTATTAAAGCAGTTATGATTTTAATGTGTTTCAAGTGATTTAAACTTAAAATAATTGTTATTGTATTTGTGTAACAATTATGATGGATTGATGTTTATGTTTTATTGTATTTTATTGTAATTGTTGTTATAGTTGCTTTATATTTTAGTGTTATTGATTCACTGTGTTATTAAATTGGCCCGTGTTATTTAATTGAATTGTTAAAATGATCAAAAAATTAATAGTTACTAAAGTTTTTACTCGACAAAAGTGTCTAAAATGATTCAAAAATTAATCGGGTAAGAATACCACACTTGAACGGGTAGAGTAGGCAAAAAAAAAAAAAAATCAGCAAAGTATCGGGTAAGAAGACAAAATACTATATTTTCTACTCATAGGAGGTAAATTAGGGGTATATTTTTCTAACAATTTCTTTTTCTCTCTCTCTATTTTCTTTTACTCTGTTTATATTAATATTACAACAACAGAATTACACTAATCAGTTACATCAATCAATTACAATTGTCCTATAATATATCAATCAGTTACTCATGCGTTATAATAAATCAAATAGTTACACAAAACAATTACGCAAAATTATGACATCAAATCAAATTGTCATTCAGTTATTTACATAAACTAAATACTTGCACCATTGAGTATCGCGGTACCGTTACATTATTATGCCTTAACAATTGCATGAGATTATGATTGTTACACTCATTAAAAAATATAGTTATACTTATTAAAAAAACAATTACAATCGGTAAAAAAACAATTACACACATTAAAAAAATAGTTACACATATTAAAAAATAGTTACACCCATTAAAAAACAGTTATACCCATTAAAAAAATAATTACAACAATTAAAAAACAGTTACACCCATTAAAAAAAAGGAAGTTCTTTTTTCATAGATCCCAACAACGAACAATACATAATATCTAGAAAAACATCTCGGTCAATTCTTTTTTTTTTTAAAAAAAAATTCAGTGTTTATTCACATATAATTTGTAGCATTCTAATCAAATCTCATTGCCATAGAATCTTGTTGCCGAAAAAGAAGAGTTTTGATCATTAACGTCCCTATTTTACCTCTCATTACTATTGTTAATCTTTACATATTTGTTTTTTCAAATAACTGCTAATGATAATTGCATAATTTAATGGAGGGTGTTTAGATAAAAAAAATTTAATTCATTTAAATTTTGTACCTAAACACAAAAATTTTTATAAAAATTGTACTTAATAATGTAAATAACTTATCCATATACTTTTGCTCAAATAAATCTAAAAAATTATACCCATACAAAAAAAAAAAAACCTTTTTATTTTTTTTTATGGTAGAAGACGAAATTTGCATGAAATTAGAACATGGTCCGACTATCTTTCTAGTTTTCAGCTCATTAACTTCAGTCGACAGCTGTGCAATATAACTAGGAATACAATCATAAGCAAAGGAAACAGTTGCCAAAGTGCATTCGGCAGCCGCCAGCCTAGCCACACAAGTATTGGCTTCAGTGTCGTGTAGTAGGTAATCATCCCCTCAATGATCAAATGTTCATACGGGAAATGGACTCAATTGTCTCTTGACATTTTGAACCCAATTGACTATGCGGGGTTTCGCACGCCCACCGAATCCAGCCAGCCACCAGTGGTGATTATCCCCTGGAATCATGGCAACCAATGTGATAGCAGCTGTTGGAATTGTACATTGGGTTGTGTCTCTCTGGTTGAGAGGCTTTGGTTTTGACAGGGGTAGGTGAATAGGGCAGGGGTCCTCATGTGTGTTTTCCCACCAGACCTTTTGAACTAGGCAAATTATAATTTATTATTCGAGCCTCTAATGCTTAAAAGTAAAACTCATCCATGCTTGATTAATAATTAGCGTAATACAAAGGATAAAAAATAAATAGGATGATTATCAAGTGCAGTCACCAAAGAAAACGTGACATTACTTATATGGCATAACCATAGAAAGAGTTATAGAATAGAGCCGACACTTGGATCCTATATGTTTTCGTCACAAAGTATTGATTTGGGTGTCTTACATATATTTTTTTTAAATTTTTCACAAGAAATAAAAGATTGAAACTTGGGAATTCATGAGGCACTCAATGTGGATGCATACATGATACATTCAAGCCAGATCAAAATCCATGAGTATCAACCCACACATCGTTCATTGTTGTGGGGTTATTCGGAGATAGAACTATAATTTTGGATGTCTCGATTCTTTTTCCTCTCCACAACAAAACTTGATTGTTTGTTGAACTATGATCAGAGGCCTAGATGATCCGAAATCGTCAAACTGTAAAGAGGAAAACGACTGGCATAACTCTGTAAAATTAAGTCTAAACACAACAAAAAGGTATCACTGCATTAACAAAAGAAACCAAAAAAACATAATAAGAATCACCCCCTGGCTGGCCTTGGGTCCCCTGTCCTTTTTTTTTTTTATCTCCACTGTCAAAACCAAAGACTCTCTGCCGGAGAAGACACAAAACATAAAGTCCAATTCCAATGTCTTTCTTTCCACAACCCCACAAAATGTCTCCCTCCAAGCATAGTAAAGCATGTGAAGATTGGCAATACAAACAAAGCATATATGTATCTACAGATTCTCTCTCTCTCTCTCTCTCTCCATCAATTAAATGTCTTCAATTAAGTCCTCTTCGGTGAATCACATTCGCCCTCACTCTCTCTTTCTCGTATCCACCGCCATTCTTAATTCCTTTCTCTCTTTCTCTCTCTACAGCACCGCACTGCAGATCAGATGATACCATAGTGCCCTAAAGGACAACAAACAATTCCAAGACGCACACACTACTAGTATAGGACTACTAACACCATCTCATATGGCAGCCACAACAGCCCGTCTCAAAATCCAAACCCAATTCACTAAACCAAAGCGTCGCCGTCACCGGGAAACCACCATCACCACCACCCCGGTCACCACCACTATCATATCTGACTCCTCCACCACATGTTTAACCCACAACCATTACCATCACCAAAATAATCATCAAGCCCGCAAACTCGACCCGCCTACTGTTGTCTCCCCTGACAGTTCCTGGTGCTGCCCCGCCTCGAAACCACCTCCTCCTCCTCCACCACCACCCTCTCCACCGCCGCCTCGTCACACAACCCCAATCACACTCTCAAATCCAGAACCCATTTCCGCTTCTGTCACTGCCACGTCATCGCCACCCCGATCTCCGTCGATGTCCCCGTTAAATCTCAAGATCGGATACTCACCACCCAATACATTTCCCCAACCCATGGACTCACCCATCACCACCACTACCACCGTCAACGGCAGCGTTAACGGCGGTGCCACCACCTCCACTGCCCACGATTGTGTCCCATCATCTTTCAGCAAATTCAATTCAGCTCTTACAGCAGGCCTTCTCAACCCAATGTCACCGCCACCATCAATCGATAAAACCCGTACAAGCCCAACGCTCTTCGAAATGATGGCAAGCGAGCCCGATATCCAACCAAGAACCACCCAGATCCCCAACCCAAACGCCGTGATTATTTCGGCCCCAAAACCACCACAGGTTCCGCCACTAGACAAACAAGCTTTAATGCAACAACGTTTGTTAGACCTTTTAGCATGTCGAAGCCCAGGAAGTCAATTCAATGATCCGAATTCAAGTGATGTCAAGTTAACTTTGAGCTCTAAAGACGGGCTTACTGTTTCTATGAATGTTCATAAGCAGATCTTGGTTGCGCATAGTCGTTTTTTTGCTGTCAAGCTGTCGGAGAGGTGGTTGAAACAGCAAAGGTTTTCAAGCCCATACATCGTTGAGATTGCCGATTGTGATGACATTGAGGTTTATATTGAGACGCTTAGTTTGATGTATTGTAAGGATTTGAGGAAGAAATTGATGAAAGAAGATGTTTCCAGAGTTCTTGGTATCTTAAAGGTAAGTAGTCATAAATGAGAGCATTTCTTCATTCATGTATGTATACGACTGCAGATGAACCATAGCCCATAACCTAGATAAGTTTATTGTCAAATCGTGGTGGAATTTGAGGATCCATTGGGTTTGAATTCTGGTTGGTCTTATTTTTGCTGTTACAATTTATGTACATGTACATATACTTACAAATGCACACTCACATAAACACAGGTACATGAAGAACACACCCTTATGTGTATACGCAGACGGATAGATTACATGTGCTTTAAAATTTTGTGTACATTTATATTTGTTTGTATGAGTTAGAAGGATTGAGTGACAAGTTGTGGTGAATGTGAGAATTAATGGGGTTCTGTGTCCTGGGTTGATTTTTTGTGCTATAGGTTTCAGCGGCAATTGGGTTTGATGCGGGGGTTTTGTCTTGTTTGGAGTACTTAGAAGCTGCTCCATGGGCTGAGGATGAAGAAGAGAAGGTGGCTTCTCTGTTATCTGAGTTGAAGCTTGAAGGAGTTGGTGCTGGGGAAGTTTTGAAGAGGGTTTCGGTTGATGTTACAACTGCGGTTGAAGACGGGCATGACAACGAAGAAGTGCTTCTTAAGCTTTTGCAGGTAGTTCTTGAAGGGAAGGACGAGAAGGCAAGGAGAGAGATGAAAGGATTGGTGTCGAAAATGCTTCGTGAGAATTCATATCAGAGTGATTTGAGAAAGGAGTCATTGTACTCAGCTTGTGATGGGTGTTTACAGTTGCTGCGCCACCATTTCTTAAAGGCAGCAGAGGCGGACTTGCAGGATGTAGGTCAGATTGCAAGGCAGGCTGATAATTTGCATTGGATTTTGGATATTTTGATTGATAGACAGATTGCTGAGGATTTTTTGAAGATGTGGGCATCGCAATCTGAATTGTCTAATGCACATTCTAAAGTGCCTGCAATTCACAGGTACGATGTTAGCAGAGTTACGGCCAGGCTGTTCGTTGCGACTGGCAAAGGACAATTGTTGGCTTCTAAGGATTCCAGGTGCTTGCTTTTGCAGACATGGTTGGTGCCATTCTACGACGATTTTGGGTGGATGAGGAGGGCATCAAAAGGCCTTGACCGACATTTAATTGAGGATGGTCTCAGCAACACAATTCTAACTCTGCCTATGGCTTGGCAGCAGGACATTTTAATGTCTTGGTTTGATCGTTTTTTAAACTCAGGTGATGATTGCCCAAATATTCGGAGAGGATTTGAAGTTTGGTGGAAGAGAGCTTTCTGGAGACGAAATGGTGAGCCTGAACTGCCTCGGCAAATGCGAATCACGACAGCAGCTATCGAAAACTCATGATGTTGATAAGTCTGCAATGCAGGGATAATGTTGTTCTGATGGTTTTCTTTTCATACTCTTGTGATCATCTGGCCGTGTTATCGCGTTATGGCCCTCTTTTATATCTTATTCCTTTCTAAACCAAGTGCGGGAATTTGTTTCAGCAGAACTGAATTTCACAGAGGTGGGTGATGTGCATTTTTTATAGATGCATTTCTGGGGTTTAGTTTGGACGGAGGGATATATGTCACCCTTGAAACTCACATAATATGTAGGCAACTGTCTGAACAGAATTTACTTGTTCTGCTGACTTGATACTTAAAATCCATTATTTTTGTTACTATATCACTGGTGAGTTGATTTTCGGGTGGAAAAGGGTTTCTGTCATCTACCAGTGTGGACTTGAGCATCATCCAATGCGGTATAGCTTTTTGCAAAAGATAGGACTTTTGTTCTAGTATACCAAGACTAAGCCTGCCTTGTTTCCATTTTATGATATCAGAGCACCTATCATTTAGTGTAGATTAGATATACCCTTCCACTTCATTAAATTCTTCTGGTGTGCAAATGGTGATCAGATAACAGTCATTGTCATTGTTGTTACGCATTAGTCATATGCATTATGGTTAGGGACTGAATGAGCTGTCTCATGCTCAAACTCAAATTGAAAGGCTTCCTTAATAGTTGGGATATAAAGATTCGTTTAGTTATTGTAGCCGTTCAAGCGAGTAAGTCACAGAGTGAAACATGTGCAGTGCATTTTGTTTGGGCTTTGGCAGAATCTTGATTAAAGCATTATCAATTCTTTACGTTTCAGGGATCGACTGCAATTGAGGATTTCTAATTTTTGGTGCAGAGTCACTTGCATGTATAGTCTGTTGAGCATGATACTATAATGAAATACACAGAAGCATTTAGGAAAACTCCAATTGTTTAGCATCCTGGCTTTTGGGGTGTTCTGTTTTGGCTCGGATATTAGAATTCAGGATGCTATTGTTGTGTGATTTCATGTTGTTTACATTCTCCTTAGTAGGTTTATTTATGTGGTTCTTGTCTATTTATGAAGCTTGAAAAGCCTTTACCTCTTTCTGGTAGGTGTAGCAATAATAGTTTTTGCATGGTCAAGATTTAGAAATTTCTGCTTTGCATTTATTTATTGTTGCATTTGGAACGCTGTTAATTAGTCCTCCAACCATATTGCATTTTATAGCCGCAACATTTGTTTTTTTCTCTTATTTTTGGCAAGGGTCACAGATATAAATGGTGCGCTTTCAGCATGAAAGAAAAGTTTGGATAAGGGTTTCTAGTGAAATTTTTGACGCTGTAGCAAGTTAAGATCCAACATGTCAACCCCTAGTGAGGTAAGTTGGGGACATAAGGTCGTTGGCCTTTACCATAGAGGACAATCTCCTCTACTTTTCTAGAAGCCATAAGATTCTTCATTTTAGCTATGGTACAGTTGATGTTAAACCATCCATGCAGTTCAGAAACTGTCAATGAAAGACAGATTATTTGTATTTTTCCAGCAGCATGATCTAAATGCATGCCATAACTCTTTTAGGATTTTGGTATTACAATTATTGTCTTCTTCAAGCATGGTGATGCATATAATTTGACATGGTTCTACTTGTTTTGTATTACGCAAGATGGTGATGTTGCCTCTGTGCGGTCCTTGCTGCAACTGTTTACAAAAGGAATTCATTGATAAATTTTAATTTGATCTCGGAACAAAGTGGTTAGTTATAAAACAGCTTGTTTGTGACAAGTTCCATCAAATCTGCTTTCTAGTGGCTTATTCTGCAACCTTATGTGCACCATTAGTTTTAGATTGTGTATAACTATGTTTGTTTGGGGTATCATGATGGAGGTTGCCACCCATCATCCTCTTTTTCTTTTCCCTTTTTTTCTCTTTTTCTGATCTGAACCTATTGTCCTTCTGTGTGAGATTATTTAATTATTAAATAAACTTATTTGCAGCTTTTGTATTGAGGAGCTGAAATAATCCCACGGTATTGGAAGTCTTGTTGACAAATATTATTTCTTGTAGGCATATTGGAAGTAAATTCTGCAGCCTATGAAAACCCTCACTACATGGTCTTGATTCAACATTAATGGCTCAAAATGGAAAGATGGATGAATGTGTTTGTGATTGACATTGTGGTTGTTGATGTTAAATCTCTCCCATTAGCCTTCCTATTAGAGTTATGTTTATTAATAGCTTCAGCATCATGATAACATTACAGGAAAGCTAGATGTATTTTTTATGGTCTCTTAAAATTAGAGGTTGAAACTTGAAATGTCAAACAAGTTGACATCATGTCTTTTGGATTCGCTGCTGATTGTCGATGTAGATTGTTGGGATTTTTTTATCAGAAACCTGATTGTGTCAAGATTCTTTTTGTGGAGCTAAGATTCTTGTTCTTGGACTCTCTTTATGTGGTAATGCTTTCACTCAACTTTATTTTTTGGTGAAGCAGTAGTTGTTAAGCACTAAGTTACATCAAGTCAAGTCAAGGTTTTAAAAAATGTTGTGTACTATGTTTAAGATTCTTGATTTTGCAACAGCATCTATGACATTATGAATATAGGTAGAGTTTATTTTCTTGATTATAGTATCAGAGATGCAGATTTCTTTCTCTTCGGATGTTAGTCGAAACCTTGAGGACACAAGATTGCTTGATGTTTAGGCTTTGGGCTATGGTTTGATTATGATCTTTTATGAAAATGATGAGCTCTGGCTGTTGGAATTTGTTCTGTCTTGCAAAAGTGTACAGGTTTCGGGTCAAGTAGTATGGAATTAGGACAGTTAGTAAATTTTATTTCGGTTATAAGCAATGTATTAAACTAGATGCACAAATGCAAGAGTGAGGAAGATCATCTTTGGTGAAAGAATTGCAGCTGGTTGGTGACAAGTTCCATCAAGCTATGTTTCATATGCCTATAATTATGCACACTTGCCTGTATTTACATTTAGATTTAGCAATCGGGGGCCTCTTGCATGCTCCACTAGGCCCGAAGGATATAACTCCGTTGGTAAAGCTCGGTTCTTGAAATTGGCTCGTTGCGATTATGTGTTGGATGTCTTTTTCTATTTACATTTATGTACTCGAGGCAGCCTGTCTAGCCTCAGAAACCTTCTGGTGATAAAAGTGTTTGCAGCTGCTCTCCTATCTTGCTGCTTTCATCTGCTGTGCCATGGCAGGACTGCATGTCTACCTTGAATTTAGTGTTATAAAGCTAGCTAGATAATAACATCCATGGGCAAGGTTGGCCCTCTCTCTAATACACACCAAGCTCCATTTTTCACACACACAAAGCTACATTATATTGAATTTCAGACCTTTGTAAGCAAGGGTCTACCACTCGTGCCAACAAACCAACTGGAGAAATTGTTTTGGACTACCTTAAACAAAATCCAGGATATATTTAGAACTACAATAAGTTTGTATTTGAGAATTCTATCTTCAAAACAAGTGTAAGACTGTTTTCTAGCTACGTTTGTCGCATTAGAAATTCCATTTTTTTAATTGAATTTGTAGGAATAATACATTTCTCACCTAGTTTGCTCTTCACTTTAGAGGGGCCAATATTTTATAAGGGAAGGCCCAATCGACAAATGTGGGTGTGATTGGTTGGGTCTAGAGGTCAAGTTAGGCTAAGAAACTCTTTCATTTTCTGGTGCCAGAAGTCAATACAAATAAAGAAAATGTTAATATTGCCTATCTATATATTAGAAAGAGATAGAGGTTGGATAGATCCAATCTCTTCTTTGCGTATCCTATCATTCCAGTTGTGGGGTGACTATTTTATGGGGGTAGATAAGTAAGATTCGAAATGGATCCAGTCTTGCACCAAATGTCAATATAGTTATCCTTCCAAACAAACCTCAGATGCAACCCTTGCACCCTCCCCCTCCTAATTAAGGACTACCCCACTCCCACCTCTCATACAATTAAGGTTAATAATCGAGTCGATCCTATTAAGTTCGTTTATTTTAAACGAGTAAAAAAAATTGTTCAAGTTCGTATCGTTTAAAAAATATATCTAAATCGAGTAGCTCAATTATTTTACATATAAATAAGCAAAACTTTGTGAGTTCAAACTGAACTTGAGTCAAGTCTTATCTAAGCCGAGCCTGAATAGTTCGGCTCAATTATCAACTCTACATACAACATACACAAATTGGGAAAATGTGTCTCATTTTTATTGAAGATTTAATTAATGATAATGTTTTTGTGTTTTCTAGATATGGATTGAATTATTTATCATTGAGTTTTTTTAACATGGATAGATCCTCACCATTCAAAATTGATTTGGCGAATCCACCAATTTTAGAAATTGAAGAGAAGCAAAATATCTTAGAAGTAAAAATAATTATGCTTTAATGTGTGGGGGAAAAAAATCAACCTTGAGAAATTTTATGTCTTCAAATCTATTTTCCAATCAAGCCAAATACCAAAATTTGAGAAATTCCAAATATTTAGGATTTTCCTCCCCAAATTCATTTTGATTGACTTAAAAACTGTCATTCGATATGGAAAAGCCGAAGAATACTCATCATTAATAATTGAAAATAAACCCAATTAATGGACCCAAAAACTTGAATAAAATCAAAAACAAATATAAGATAAAATGTGACCATGGCAAAACTATTTGATTTAAAAGAGAACAGAAAAAGATAAACAAACAAGGTGGATAAGATTGAACTTAAAGCAATAACTAGCCAAATATAAAAACTATAGATCTTCAACCATAGCTAGATCTATATAGTTATAAATAACTAATATTAGTTTATTGAATTAGTAGTAAGATGAGATAAAAATTAAATTATTAATTAATGGGTCTATCATCAATCATCTATGACAATATAGACCGCGGGCATTATCATTTGTGTTGTTGACTTGAAGAAAGTTGAACCCCGCAGAACCCGACCCGAAATCGAGACCAAAAAAGCCAAATGTTACACGCAATTAATATTGGGCTGGTGCGAGGGTAAAATGGGAACAACAGGCCAAAAAAGCAAGGGCAAGAACGGTATGAAGTGAAGCATAAATACGTGGGGAAGGTGAGATTACAGAGATACGGATTACATGTTGAGTGTGTTCACACAGGGAAGAGAAAGAGAAAGAGAAAGAGAGAGACAGAGAGAGAAGCAAGGGGTAGCGGCGTTGGCGTATTTGAGAAGGTACGTGAGGAAGAAAGTAGCGTATGGAGAAGAAGGATCTAGAGAGAAAGTGAGTGCTAGAGAGAGAGAGAGAGAGAGAGGAGTCCATGACTGATCTGAAGAAGCAGTGTTCGGAGTCGCTTTGCTTCGTCGCAATTGCCTTGTACTTCGTTTTTGAGTTTGATTCTTTTGGTGTTGGATCAGTTTGAAGGGCACGTGGAGGAAGTTGATTTTCGATTTCGATATCGATTTCAATCACAGGTATATGAAACCCTAGCTTGTAGTGTCTGTGTGTGTATGTGTTTTGCTTGGATGTTTGCTAGATCGATCGATGGCGAGACGACTTCATTGGCCTCAAAACCCTAGCGATCGTCTCGATTCTGCCATCTGGACTGGGAGAAAGGTTTTGGAAGATTCCGCTTCGAGTTTCAAACAGGTTGAAGACTTGAAAGTAAATCATGGACACTGGATTTATATCTCTTTGACTGGAGATTTGATGCCTAGGGTTTGTTTTTCCTCATCTGATGTTTTTGGCTTCGTTGACGTTGGGAACTTGACTTGGCTTGAACATTCATGCCTGTGGTCCAGCAAACTACCTAATGCCTTAACTCTGTTCATGGAGTTCACATCTGCTTGGAGATCTCTTTGCGTATTCACCGTGGTTACTTGTGGACTGTATACACAATCACATTACGTTATGTCTTTTGCTTGAACCCTAGCTTGGTGGAAATAATTTAACTGGTATCTTCCTTCTACGATCCAATTAACATCGTTTATACAAATAAATTTATGAGCCACGGATGCTGCAGGAGGTTTCTGCCATAAGAAGTAGTTGTACACCCTTTGGATCTGTTCTCTTGGATGGATATGGTCAGATCTGTGGTGCAATACTCTATATTACTTCTTGCAGAATTTCATCTATCGATGTTTCACTTTCACTTGCTGCAAACTTGTTTCTGCCAGAAATATAGTTGATGGAAAATTTGACTGTTTTGCCTGAAAGACCTGCTGCTTTTGCTTAGATTTTCATTATTCCTCTGATTGAACAATAGTCATGATTCAATCCGATGTGGTTGGATCAAAACCATGGAATGTGATTTAATTTCTGTATCGATATCAATCTCCACAGATTTATGGGCTTGATATAAATGAAGATATTTTTGTTATTTAATATTTGGATGACTCCGTGCTTCTTTAGAAACTTGGGAAATTTTGTCAGCACATTGTCTATGTTCGTTGATGTCTTCTAGCAAAGTCTTTCCTTGATTACTAAGGTACCCCGCTGAAGTGGATTTCTGTTTTGAATGGGCCAAACCCTGATGGAAACCAGACAAATGACCTTATTGTCGGCTTCTGTGTGAGAATCAGTTAACGTCGAAAGAGAGATCATATTCATGATTGGATTCATTGTCACACGTGTTGTTTCTGACAATGTATTATGTAGATTCATGCTTCTTATCCCTTGTCCGTATAACTCAAGCTTATAATTGTTGTCGTTTACTTCTGCAATGAACTTTCATTTGGCATTCTAGGCGTTGTCATATTGAGCAATTGAGTGAGTCGCTTATGAGCCGTTATCAGCATTGGACACTTTATTGCGTTTCAGGTCTAAATAATAATTGAGTGCCGTGCTTGGGGATTTTGACACCGTCTCCCAAGCCTAATTGCCGTTATTGGTGGTTGATATTTATGAACCACCTTGTAGTCACTTTCCCAAAATCGCATTCTCCAATTTTGCATTTTTAATAGCATTGTTGATTGTTTCTGATTTATCATTTAGTTGCTATTTTTGTGCAATGCTTTGCTGTGGCTGCTGCTTATTTAAACCTTGGATGCTTCCCAGGCGGCATAATTTGAATATCTTGGATCCTGCAAAGCTTCTGTAGGCGTTGTCCGTCTTCTGAATGTGACAATGAGGGGTCACCATTAATGGTGGGCATTTACTATTGCTTAGAAATCATCCATTGTAACTTTGTTGTAATAGTTATAGAACTCCTAAATGAAAGTTTCTTTGTGGATATGCAGATCCACCTGTGTACTTGCACTGGGGGGTCAGCCTCTATTACTGGGTTGAGCAAAAGACGAGCAGCAACGGCATCCTGCAAGACTTGCGGTCGAAGACCTTCAGCTGATGGGACAGAGTCTCCCGCCAGCAGTGTAATTAACACAGTTGGTTTAGAACTGACCAGTCTCATCAGTTCAGATTTGACTTGGAAGGTTTCAAAAGGTAACAGGAGTTCATTGAGGCGAGCTAGAACAAGTCTGCAATCTAGGTGGGAGTTAGCCAATAAGGAGTTCAAAGAGGTGGAAATGCCTGTGTCTGAATCCGAGAAGGTATACATCACAGCATAAAATATTTGGAATAGAACTGGTAGTAGTTTATTTCTCTGTTTAATGCTTATAAACAGGAACACCTTCATGTTATAACCCGGTAGTATCTTTTTTCTTTTCCATTATGTAGCTGGGAGTTTCTGTTCTTGGGTGCCGCTTCAGTGAGAAGGCAGAGCATGTGCCAATTAAGAAAAGAAGGTTTTTCTTTAGGTCTCCATCTCCACCACTGAGAACCACTTCTTCACGCTCTGAGGAAACTGAAAGACTTACAAATAGTCAACATGCTTCAGGTCAGGGGTTCCTTATGAATCCACTTTTAAAATGCAAATCTGCAGCATCTGCTTCTGCAGTTGACATAAGTCAAGTTGTTGATAGCAATCAAAAATTTGAGGGAACAAAGTCTGCTATGTTAAATGAACGAATTGGTGAGAATGACGACTTCTCTGGCATATCAATTCTTGCTGCTGCCGCCTGCAGTAACAGCTTGGGAGACATTGAGGAGGGTTCCGGAGTTGAGTCTCCTGTGCGGGAGGGCCCTATTCAAGTTTTGTTGAATGATGAAGCCAAAGAAGACCTTGTGAATTCTGGTCAAATATCTACTGAAGGAACTGGCTCCTTTATCTCCACAGTGCCTCCTGAAGGTGCTGCCTCCTTGAGAATGTATAATTCCTCCCCAAAGCGCTTGTCGCTTGAAAACACATCGGAGAGTTCTTTATTACAAAATAATTCAATGGTTGGATCACAGGGTCTTTCAAACAAAAAGGATGACGGAACAGCTAGAATACAGGAGTTTTCTGCACGAGATGATAGGTTGCACTGGGACTTGAATACAGTAATGGATGCATGGGAAAGCCCTTTTGATGATCATCATTCATCTGATCTGACTAATGCTGCAGATCTGCAGCCTGACTGCGCCAATGAAGGTAACTTGGAAGGTAATGGGTTTCAAAAGGAGTTTGGGGTTACCAATGAAGACACTGGAAAGGCACAGGTACTGGATGAATCAAGCAACTTGTCTCATGAAACTCAAGATTTAAACAAGGATGAACATAAATCCCCTGTGTGCACTGATATCAACATGGGTAGCACCTTGCAAGCAAATTTACAGTCCTCTGAGACTGATAATCCCCTGAATGTTGTGATGGACTTCGTTAAGGAAGCAAATTGTTTGCCTAACAAGGAAAAGTTTTGCACCAATGATGGATCACTTGCTCTTCCTCCTCCTAAAGATGTTCCAGACCATTGTACATCACCCATTGTTGACAAACATGCTACGTCCAGGAATGTGAACTTCAGCTCCAAGACTAGGGAAGTTTTATCTTCTGTTCCGGTTGCTGGAGTGGATTCATCTCTGCACTATTCTATGCCCCCTACAGCTGATATTCTTAATAGCACATGTTTATCTGAAGGTACTTGTAATGCTGCAGCCACAGGTTTTGGTAGTGCGAAGAGCGTAGATGATTGTGGTGCTGATGTACAAACATGTGGGACCATTTCCCCTACATATCAGGTTGAGAAGCAGAATGCTTCTGTTCGTAGTGTACCTTATTCAGACAAGGCTGCCTGTGAGATTGGTAATAGTGGATATGAGGATTGTGGGAATGCCAACAACATATCAGGATCAGGTGATAATGGGAATTCTGCGAAGGATAGAGCCAGCATGGAGACTGACCACTTACTCGGAAATGAGCTTCTTGATGGTAGTAAGGAGAATGCTGGCTTGGAGTTAGATGGTGGTGGATTCTGGCAATCTTCTCGTACACATGTAGAGGTGCCTACCTCAGATGCATTTCTTGAAGGCCAGTCTGTGGTAGAATCAAGAAACAAGGTGCAACGTTGTAAAGTTACTTCAGGTCATGATACCTCTGATTCTGATATGCAAATGCAAGTTTATACCGAGAAACCAGAGTCAACTACATTTTTAGGAAAGCCTATAAGGCCACCTCATTGTCTTAGTTCTCCTTATATGCAAAGAAGCTGTTCTAATGATTTTGTAAGTGGTTCTGGTAAGGTAACTCTTGAGGAGCAGTTGGATGATGGTTATGCTTCTGATGTTTCGCGAGGTGATCGTCATCCCAGGGTTGGGATTGATAAAGAGAATGAGCTGCAGTTGGATTATGATTCACAGTATGAAGATGGGGAACTCAGGGATTCAAGTATACATAGTTGGGAAGGATATGATGGTGAGGATGGAGAAACTGAACGTCTGGACTATGGTTCAGACAACAGAGACTCTGACAATTTGGGTTCTGAAAAAGCACAAGAAAGTAATTTGCAATCTTCTCCGGGAGGCTCCTCGAGGAAGAAATCTGATTCAGGACCTGGTAGGGGATCATTTGTGAACACTAGAACACCATGCTTGAGGGTGCAGAAAGTTGATAGCAGCGACAAAGGATCTGGTTCAGGAACTGAAGACGTAACTAGAAATAAGGAGGATCATGATATGCGAGACCATGTGAAGGAATTAAGTGAGTCAGCTGAGTTGAAAGTGAATATGTCTGGTTCGGATTTAATGCCTGAAATTAGTAAACATTCATCAGATATAAAGACCAGAGTAAGAGCTGAAAGGGTCATGAAGTGTTCTGCTGGTAATCAAAGAGGTCGATTGGGAGCTGAATATGCAGGGACAAAAGCGGATGAGTCAAGAGCTCATGGAAGGGACTGGCCATCACGAATTGAAAGAACTACATCCCAAAGTGCGCATCTTAGGCGGGAACGATCATGTATGCAGGGAAGCAGGTATTTCTTTTCTAACTAGTAATTTTCTTATGGGCTTCTGTTCTTTGGAGATCTATATCTGGTCAGCACTAACGAACATATTTATTTTCAGTTCCAATGATGCTTACTATTCAAATCCTAGGTCTGAGAGGGAGTCTGGTGCTCATAAATCCTTTGGGAGGGGTAGATATTTTCTTCAAAGTCATACCAGGAGTCGGGAAGGTGGTCACTGGGCTGATTTTGAGGGTTATAGGGGTTTGAAACGCCATCGTTCCCCTACTTACCATGGCCCTACTGCTTTCCATCGCTCCAGGCTAGAAAATGTTGCATTAGATGGTACCAATACAAAAGAGGAAGGTGCAGGACAAAGGGTTACTGGCAGACAAACAGTTACTGATTCACATATTATACATCGACCTTTCAGAAGTGGATCACCAAATGATCGGCAAGAAGCTTTCCGTATGCGTCTTGGCTTTAGACCAGCTCGAGAGATGAGTCCTGGAAGGTCTGCAACTATGGGCAGGGGTAGGTCTGTAAGATATGGTGCACGAATGGATGGAGGCCCCAGAAGGAGATACTATGGTGGTGCAAATGATGATTTTGTTGAATCTTCCTTGGATTATTCACATTCTTCGGCCAGGAGGCGGAGAAGTTTTTCTCCAGCTGAAAAAAGAGGGATTCCTCATGCACGGCGATCCAACTCGAAATCTCCTTCAAGATCTAGAACTCGCTCTCCCATTGCCTGGCAATCTCCTAGAAGAAGAACTGGGGATGGTGCTATTGGTATTCTGGGTTTTAAAAACCGAAGCAGGTTTAATTGCAGGTCTGATACGAGAATGCCAAGGGTGAGGTCACCTCATATTCGGTCTGGTTTTGCAGCAGATCATCTCACAAGTTTTTCATCAGTGCCAAGAGGCAATGACTCTCCACCCCCTAATTCTAGATGTATTGGTTACAATCATCGTTCTTCAGCTTTAGACCGGTCACCTGGGAGAATTGGCTCCCGGGAAGACAGGTTTGATTTGTTGGATCCCCCACGAAAATTGAAGCCAAATGAGTATTATAGATCTGTGAATCCAGGAAGATTTTCAGAATCAAATGGAGCTGGAAGAGGCCGATCTCAATATGAGGGGAATGATGATGATCATAAACAGGAGTATAGGTATGGGCTTGTTCATCGTGCAAGGCGTTATGACATGGACAGAACTGTGAAGCGGTTCCGTTATGAGGATGAAGATGGTTATATTTTGGCAAATGGCTCTCGAAATAAGGATTCTACAGATTTCCATGGGAGAGAAAATCCTAAGGCTTATAGTGGGGGAATTGACAGTAGTATAGGTGATCAACCTAGGTCGTCTAGAGAAGACAGAGGCCCATTCGTCTATCGAAGAGATGGGAGATATAATGCTAACTCAAAGGTATTTGGGGTGCGGGAAGGTGACGAGGATGAAGCCTCCAGAAGGAGGCGACCTTCCTGAACTTTGTACTCAGTGCCCTTTTTGTCACATTGGATGCATCTGCAGGTTTTTTGAAAATGGTGGACCTGGTGATTTTTTTTTTTTTTTTTTCATCTGGAAAGTATCTGGATCTTGCAGTTGTCCTTTCTTCCAGCGGTGGTTAAATTTTAATTTCAATATTGCGATTTTTTGTTTTGAAATTTTGGTTAGGACTAGTATCTGCTTTTAATATTTTTATATTTTGAATATAGAATCTCCTGGCCAATCCTGGGGACTTAGCCACTTTTGAGGCTGTTGGAATATTATCAAATCAATGAGAAGTTCATTTCTCCATTTTTTTTTTCTTGAAAATTTAGTCTTTGGACACTTTGGAGCTTGCTTAGTCCTTTTTCTGAATGGTTACTTTTCTTGAAAATCCTTGACCAAGCGGAAGACACAGCACTTGGTTCTGTAGGGCAGATGAAGGCCCAGAAATAGGCAGTTGGGTGAGGCCAATTATTACGCGGTTGGTTCATTTGCTGAGAAAAGTGGAAAGGTGATAGAATCTGTTTAACTGGGGCTTTGTGGACAAAATTCTAAGTATTTTAATTGATGGTGTTTCTCTTTCTTTTGGTGTGGGATTTTGTGAGAAGTGGGAAAATTCAAAATTGTATTCTTACGCCTAGTCAATGTGCTTGTGCAGTTGTTAGAACTTAGAAGGGTGTTATGGTTCGAAAGGGTTGTAGGTCTTAGTTGCGTGGGCCTCATTGGTCTTGGAGCTTTTGGCGGATGGGTCAAGTTCATGGTGTTTGGTTCCACGAAAGTCACAATGTTTCGGGTTTCAGTCATGGCATTGACCACTAGTGGGAGCTACTTCATGTTCAAGCCAGAGCCACATCAAACAAGAACAGCCACCAACTATCAGAGTGAAGCTATTAGACTGAGAGCTGTTGCCGAAATATCCACCTGAACATAGAGTTTGTTTCTCGAAGGAAAATGGTTACCTGCAGTGGAACTGCTGGGACAGTTACAAAAGGTTAGTATCCTATGATCCTTCTTTCCTGGGCTTTTGCTATATATCTCAGGTAACCAAGGCTCTATGTAAATCGTTTTTCACATTCTTAGTTTGATGGAATGAAGCATACTATAGAGAGCACAAGATTAAAATGAGAGAGGGTAAAAACATTCTTTATTCAAAGATCTGTAAAAGCAGGCTGTAAGAGCACATCTTAAACGTCTAGTGAAGAAAGCAATAGGAACAGTAAAGGCCTAAACTTCAAGGAAAAAAAAAACAAAACAAAAAGAAGAGAGGGGAAAAAAACAAAAAGCATAAAAAGCATAAAAACTCTTAATCAGTAGCCACTTAGACACAAAGGATAGATTATCTTTTTGAAGATGAAGGGGAATGGTGCTCTGCTGCTCTTGAACGTACGTAACTCTGAGTAAGATTCGGTTCATGTTGAATCTTGATTGATGAAAATCTGTCCAAATTTTACCCTGCAGAGCACAAGAAGTTATCACCAAATGCCTTTTTTGGAAATGGAAAGTTAAATCCCTTAAGCCCATTTGTGCTAGTAAATGTAGTATTGATGATAACATTTTGAGATAGTACAGGAACCAGAAAGTCCTAAAATTATGCTTCTAAATTGCTGTCAGTGTACACTATCTTCTGTTCCTATTTCCCTGTTTTGTTTACAGGTTTATGTATATTGTCAATGAACCTTTATACTCTTCTGCCCGTTGAATGCACCTTATCTAGCTGTCTCTGTTTCACAAAGATTTCAGAGCTATTAAATTCAGTATGTAGCTTTGAGAATATGATAATTTTTTACCCTTGCTTTGTTGTTCTAATCATCAAAAGCAATAATAAGTTAGTTCACCTGGCTATGACTATGACAAATCATCCCCCCCCCCCCCCCCCCCAAAAAAAAAAAAAAAAAAAAACTTCCAAAACCCAAAAATACAGAAATTTTAAGTATGCAATTTATCAGCTGTTACGCTGGTCACAATTGTTCTGCTGCATCAGCCAATCTTGTCAGTGAATGCAACCTTTGGGTCAGCCACTCTTACATGTATATATGTTTCCTTCACCGTGTCCATGTTGAAGCAGAATTATCCAGCCTGGCCAAGGCGGCTCAGCATCCTGAGTTTCACCTATAGCATCACTTGATGGAATTGGAATTATATAGCCTTCGGTGCAAAGCTGGAGGAGATGAGGCCCGCCGAAGTGCTGAAAAGAGGCTATTTGCTCCCGGGGCAGCATAGACAAGAGAGATCAAAGATGTACAGCAAAAAAAAGGGTTAAAGTGTGGTAGTTTGAGCCATCTTCATGTGTATCAACAGCCGCTGAAGTCCTTGTCATGTGATCACAGGTAAACATTTCCAATACAACTTGAATCTTACAAGGCACTATTGAGTACAAATTTGGAGCCAAGCTAGTAATTTGTGGAAGATGTGCTTTGAACCCTTGCAAACTAGGTTTTGTAGAACAATGCCATGATTTCGAACCGAGTGCTTATCTGCACGCTGCACTTTGGTTGTGGCTAGAAACTTTATTGGGTGGGAATAGGATTTGTGGAGCAAATGGGTAGAGGGACCATTGTGTTGGCAACAAATTTAACTTTTTGAGGGATTCGTTTCATACCTTAAAAATTGCAGATATATTTTTTCTGGTAACAGTGTTTCAGTACGGTTGTAAAGCTAAATGGTGGAGGCAGTGGGGGACCAATGTGTCTTTGGGTATATACATCCTTTCTTTGTGGTGCAAAACGAAAACAGAAAAAGAAACAAAATAAAAATAAAAATGCAGTGTGGCTATTGTTGTTATTGTTGTTGCTTTTTTCGTCTTTTTCTGGAGGTTTGTTGGGACTTCCTGGGGTCAGATAGGTAACAGGACTCTGAATTGAGAGACGCTAAGACCATCCACCAAGGATTACATACAAGGGCAACAATAACCTCTGAAATTATTTCAATATTGAACCTTGGACATATAATAGTTCTGAATCGAATTTCTTTAGAAAGAAGTTCGTATATTTCATGGTAGTCTGCTCCAGTTTTTTTAGCGATTCACTTGGCATCATCAAATGATACAAGTTTTGGATAAAATCTATAACGCATTAGAACGCCCTCAGTTTGAAAGAGTCTATGGTAAGAACTCAAAAGGTCACGGAAGATCATTTGGAAGCAAATAGCTAAGACTCTGATAGCGTTGGTGTTGTGAAAGTGAAATGCTAAATGAGACCCATATGATAAGTTTCAACTTTATTCAGTTTGAAATCTTAGCATTTTAAAATTATCTGAAAGTTGCGAATTTGGATTTCGTTACACTAAGGGTGATTGTGTAAGTGGGTTCTTTAGCTATCAAAAAGGTCAACTATGGCTGTCCTTTTGAACTTTGATACCCTAGGCTCTAGATGATGTTATTTAATCAATCTAAAACAGACATCGAAAAATGACCGTCGATTATTCAGAGGAGTGCCACTGCGCATAGTACAAGCAGTACTAATCATCGGAAGCTCACTAGTTTTGGATAAAGTAATTGGGAGAGAGGGCTCATTATTGCTAATATTGTTATTCTATGTGTGATAACAGACGTGATTAGCCTTAATATTTTATCAAATTCCACCCAAAAAACATCTCAAAAGAGCTGAACAACCTTGACCCTCATGCTTGGAGATAATATCAATCCAGTGGTCTGGTGATGGTAAGTTGAAGGTTGAATCACTGTTGCTCCTGGTAAAATATAAAGTTACTAACAATAATCCCGTACTTAAAAAAAATACTCTGTAATACTAAAAATTGAACATTAATGATGTAGTATTAAATATTTAAAATAATAATTTATTTTTATTGTTTATTTATGTAATTTAAAATTAAAATGATCAAAGATAACAGAAAAAGGTAGAGTAAAGAGAAGAGAACGATAGATGTAAATTAATGATGTTATTTGATATTGGAGAGTGTGCTGATTGATTTGTTTGACATTAGAAGCTATATAGAGAAGATGAATTTTTTGAGCGGAAAAACAAATTTGAGGATCAATTTTGTACTATTAAATTAAAGTAGATAAAAATTAAATTAATTTTAACTATTATTGTATTTTTATGCGTTAAAAAATCAACTTGCTAAATAGTAGATAGATTGACCTCCACATGCCATCTTTCAAACTCTATAGAAAGGGGCTTTAAGGATTTTAATACTGTCATTGCAAGAGCATCAACATGCCAAAAAAAAAAAAAACACCCTTGACATGAAATAACATGATATAAGAATTAGGTATAATATTGTGATGACTGTGTGAATTTAACCTTCTTTCCACCCTCTCATCATGTACCGAGATTACCTTTACTATGACTTGGTCTGTTAATTCTTTTCTCCGACAACTTAACAACTTAAAAATCATCGAAAACCTTAAAGATACCCCCAAAGAGATATACTAATACATCTAGTCAAGAATGAAGATGCCCCCATAATGAATCCATGGAACAGGCAGTTGCATCTTTGGATGTCCCTGTAACTACTCGTCACTGATTGCAAAAAGAAGCGTTACACTTGTAAGGATTAGGACATATATAAAGTTCAATCCCTGTGAATGTTGGCTTTTTTTTAATAAAGTTTGAGTGAAGTGCTGATTAGTCGGAGAATCAGTCTCCCCAAAATGTGAATTAGACTGTAATTTAAATCTCTCGAAAATTACTGTAACCATCTTCTGTGCAGGATAAGACTTAGATTTGAATAACTTTATATTTAAAGCTTAGGGTTAATTATAATTTGTTCATTCCAACTATGTCTCTTGTTGCAACCAGCTCTTTATAGTTTCAAATGCTGCAATTTATCCCCTCCAAATTTTAAACGGACTAAAAACTGGCAATAATTGTTGCAACATGAAAGTATCATTATACCATCCATCTTGTTATTCATAAAAAATATGGAAACGAAAAAACTAAAAAAAAAAAAATACATTTGTTCAGCCCAATACTAACACACTACATAGCATTATGTTCACCTCCGCCTCCCCCTCCACCCTAACCCCACACACACAATCTTTTTCAGGGGTAATTGTGTCAACAAAAATAGAGATAACGTGAATTTTTCATGTTTAACTTACATAATTTTTTATGGTCTAAAATTAATTGTTGGAGTTAGTTGCAAAATATTCAAACTTAAAAGGGGAATATTTGTTGAAATTAAAACCCGAAGCCTTGAATGACAAACTAGTCAAAGTTTTTTAAGGGAGTATTTTCTAGTTAACCCTAAAACTTAGTATGTAAAATTTTTCAAGTGTAGTGAGGAAAACAGATTCAACAATCGACGGTAGTTTGTTTTACTTATTAAATCTTACCCTATTTTGTTAAATAAAGACAAGTTCATAAGTCAAGAAAACCAATTATTTAAGGATTAAGATAAACATAAACTCTTGTCTTCATCATCATCCAATGAAAACGTTGGAAAAGTTTGTAAGAAACTTCTTGTAATTGCCAACAGAAAAGTTTATTTTTACACAGCGTTCGTGCAAGTTTGATCAATCATCCAATTAAGTAGTCTGAACGCTGACAGGGATTAGAGAAAAATTTAGAAAGAATCCAATATAATAGGAGACAAATGTTCATGTTTCTACCTTACATGGGACAAAAGGCCAACCAACTTCTTTCTCTTTAGGTTTTGTCCTTCGCATTGACCTAAGTCCCGTCGGTGGCTTCTGTCTAACTGCTATGATTAATTCCATCGACACTTCTTCTGAGTTTTTGGTTGGAACATCAATTTTGAATGACTCTTAAACCGTCTTTCGGGTTTCGTAAATCATACATATTGATTAAATTCAAATTTTATACAGTTAGAAGAGCTCAGGATTTCAAGACGTGTAGGTTTAATTTATACCTTACTATTTATTGGGCCACTAAATCAAACCACGTTATAAGTTTTTTTTTTTTTTTTTTTGTATTAAAAAAAGAGAAGACATCCACATAAAAAAATAATGTATGAGATGTATATGTCTTGTAATTGTGGTCTTCTCTATACACTCAAAATTTCAAAGCTGCTTCTACATGAATATCTATCTACCTTTTACTAGTCTAAGTTTGAAACTTGGGGCATGTCTTGTTGAAAATTAAAATTTATTTTAAGTTATCGAACTCTTTCTTTGACTTGGAAAAATCTTCATCTTCACCATGTTAATTTATATCATCTAGATTTTGTAGTTGGTTTAACGGGGCGCCATAACTTGTAGAATATTATTTGAAAAAAGAAAAAAAGTTGCTCACAAGTTGTTCCACCAAAACAAAACGGAGAAAAAAACCGCCTTTGAAATAGTCTCGGTAATAGTTTATTATTTTTATTTTGTTAATTTATATTTCTTCCATTATGAAAATTGAAATTATAACCCAAGAACTTTAAATTCGAATCTTGGACCATTTCAGAATGTTCTTACAAATTTGCATTAATATACACTTACATAATTGGACGGGCCTGAGGAATTATATCTGACAAGAGAGATGAACCCTTCAAACAATTCTTTAAAGAAAGTGGTAATGAAAGTGAAAAAAGTTTTGGAGGACAAAACTCCCTACGACTATAATAAGAGTCATTTATTTTTTATTTTT